GCATGAATTTCAGGTCACAACTCATAATTTATTCATTTATTTATTTATTTATTTATTTTGTTAGTGTTAAAAAGTATACATATGAATTTAATTGATTTTTTATTTGCTTTCCAATTTTCAGGTGGATTTTGTGGATAAATGTTTTGCCCCAAGTCTAATTCAAAGAATGGAATTAACAGTGTTGAAGGCATTGGCATGGAGAATCAACTCTATTACTCCATTTTCTTACATTCATATATTGACACAAAAAATCGATGCCAACGAAACCCTAGTCGACGAATTGACAAGACGAACAACAGAATTACTCGTCACAGCGCTTTTAGGTAAACTTAAACTAGATGTTATTAGCTCGAATAGATGATATTTATTCAATTTTACGTAAATTATTATGTTATCGGGTTTTTTTTTTTTAATGACATTCAGATCCTGAGTTCTTGGAGTTCAAGCATTGTGTTATGGCAACATCTGCAATCAGAAGTGCAGTTGAAAATTTATTGCCATCTAAAAAAATTGCCCCACTTGCAAATATGGAAGCTTTCATCCTCCAAGATCATCAGGTGAATTAATTACAATTTTATTTTTTTAAATCTTTTTATGTTTTTTTCAAGACCATTGGTTTGATGATCTAAAACTTTAGTATAAACTAACCTTTTGGCAAACCTAGGATGACTTGATCAAGTGTCGAAAGATGTTGGCGAAACTAATGGTGCAAGATCACGAAAGGTTCGTTCGTGCGAAAAATTACTGGCATGGCCCTTTAAGCCCGGTGACCGTGTTGAAAGTGGACCATTTCGGTTTCCAAAAATGGCCGGTCGATATTTCTTTCAGGAGGATGCATGAAATGAATGTCGTGCTGAAATCGGGTCGAAAGAGGAAGAGGGAAGAGCTCGGGTTGTGGGATGTGAACTGAAAATTATTATTCATTTTTTGCTGATTTGCATGTAATTTCTGTGTTTGTTTTGGTGAGTGTGGGAATAACAAATTAGACTGTTGTATTGAGGCTTTAATATGTAAGGTCATTAAAAATCATCATATGATTTCCATTTTATGTATTTTGCAAAATGAAATTTCAGTTGATTCTGTTAGGAATCTTTCACCCTAATTTACTGGAATTGAGTTTATTCAGTATGTAATATTGTTTTAGGTGTGGTACATGCTTACATACTAATGAGCCGAGTTCAAACCTTAACGAGTCGATCTCGAGTTTTAACGAACCGAGCTATAAAATATTATATAAAAAATTCATTTTTTTCAAACACGAGACTTATCGAGCTGAGATGTTAACCAAACGAGCTTTAAATGAGCTCAAGTCGAGCCGAGTCTGACTCGTTTAATTTAACGATAATTTGATTCAAAGCAAAACCTCTAGGTTTCTTGGTGATATTCAAACTAATACAAGGATGTTTCTGTTTTTTTATTTCAACAAAGAATGAAAACACCCTCATTCATTTGGACAAAAGCCAATTCCCAATTGTAATTTCAAAGAAAATCTCTCTCTATCTCTCACTCTCTAGCACGGAAAATTCGTACTTACCAGTATGGGCATCAAGTTTCCACCGTTGGATGAACACACAAACTAAGGTTGTGTATATGAATGTGTAATCCAACGGTAAAAAACTCTGCCCGATTCTGGTCTGACCGAATATTCCGTGGACCTACCATTACCAACAAGAAAAAGGTTTGAAATGATACAAAATCACAAAATATGACAAATTTTGGCTTATTCAACTCTAGCTTTGTACAAGAAAGAGATGCAAATTTGCAAATTATGAAGCCGTTTAACGTACATATATACACACATGGAAAATTAGACTGCCCGGCATATCCGAGTATCTATGACTAAGAACTTAGCTGAAGTTTCGGTTAGTTCAAGTGCCTCTCCAAGTGGCATCCACCGATGTCCCCACGAGCCCTCTGCCCATTTTCTCAACTTCTCGGCTTCTATTTTTCTCGATTGTTGCACTGCAAGTGCTTCTGCATACCCACCTTCGAAAAACCATTCACACGCACGCAAAATTGAGTAAAACAAACACGATCAGCTTACAGAAAATACAACATAGTGGAAATCGAATAGTTTTTTTTTTCTTTTTTTTTTTGGAAAATAAATTCACTCATTTAGATAGTTTAAAGATTAACCCATGGATCAATTATATACTACTAGCTTATGGTTACAAACTTTCACCCCACAAGAAAAAAAAATGTGATAAAAAGAGTACAAGACATACCTCTTGCAAGCGTAATTATATCCTTTCTGCAAATATTTTCACTTGCACCTGCATAGTCCAAAACGATAAGGCCATAATAACCTTAAACCGAAGCTGCCCATTATAAGAAATTGGGAAATAATTAAAATCATGATTTTACAAACCATCAACATCCAATGGAGGAGCTTTAAGCAACTCGAGTGCCCTTCTGAAAAGCCCCTGTAAAACCGTACAAGAAAACATTGACCGATCATAATGATTCAACACAGCATATGCTAATTTAGGGAAAATTGCGAAAAAAATAGGGAGAGGAAAAAAATGATGTAGGCATCAACTCTATGAGAAACAATTCAGGGGAGAAAAAAAAATGCAGAATTAACTAAGCATATAATTTATAAGAATTTCCAACATGCATATTAGAGCTTCGGCATAAAGTAGATAACTAAGATGTGTCAATATATAGTATTCGGCTATTCGCACCCAGAACACATAGTATTCGCACCCAGAACTAAATTTTCAGACCTCTTGAACCAAAAGGGAGCTCGAGCGCTCGGCAGTTGCTTTCAGCCGATACATGAGTGCAATGCAGGTCAAAACGACACCAATCTTGGGATGATGAGGGCCTACATATAAACCAGTGAAAAAAAAAATATATTACAAACTTAGTTATTAACACATGTCTATACCTTTATTCAAAGTTACCACCAACAAAAGAAAATAGCAAACCAAAGTGTTCTTCCATTTTCTTCAGTGCTGAAGTAAGAATCTCCTCTGCATCACTAAAGTTTCTATTCAAGAAAAGCTCATATTAACACCAAGATTGACATTATAATCAGCAATGACAGACGGGGAAAATAAAAGGAAAAGGAAAACTAATTATGAAGTACCCCATATGAGCCTCGAGCTGTCCTAATGCACAAGCAGCTGCAATTGAAACCTCGTCTGAGGTCATGTTACAAGCTCCAAAGTTGTTCGGGTCAGAAAAATCTTTAATCTGAGACAAAGACTGAATTACTGTTGTGTACAATTTCTTCGCACTAGAAAATTTCCGCGTGCCGTGAAGATATTCTCCATAACACAAGGCAGCATTAGCATTGCCTACATAGTAAAAATGATTCAATATAACTCAACAAATGACATGCATAATTTTCCCTCGTCGAGCAAAGCCTTACCAACAAAATATCCCTCTCCATGAGCGCCCTCAAAGATCGACTGTGCTGCAGGAAAAAGGACTGAGTCTCAAGCACCAAGAAAAAAAAAAAAAAAAACAAACAAACAAACAAACAAGGAGGTTTCCAAAAGAGCAACTCTATTATTTGCTTACCCGAGTCAAGGTTACCACATATAAGCTCGATTAGACCTTTTAGTGCCCTGATGCGGGCCTCCAGAACCTCAAACCCACCCCCATCACCGATTTCTAGTCTGATTGATACTAAAGTTTGCAGAGCCAAATCCGCAACTGCCGATGCAGAATCCTCCTGAACAACGTGAACCAAAATCATCAGGATATTACATTTTCAGAGCAATGTCATTGCACTTTCAATCTTTCAAGAAGGACATAAACTAAAGCAAACAAAAACAAAAAAAAAAAAAAAAAATCTTATCGTTGTTGCTTGTTTACTCGATATTGTTCTAGATAAATTCCCACCAGAGCTTCAGAAGCAGCAACTGCACAAGCCAACATAGAACCCCATTACTGAAGATAAAATAACAATAATACCAATCAACGGTTCATGTACAATCACACCCTACTGTCCATAACTAGTGGGAAAGAAAGAGAACTGATGTAGGCTTATTAGTTATTACCTTTAATAGCAATAGAGGACAAGTTTAAATCTTGAAGTTTTCCTAATCCCTCAATAGCTCTCTCATGGGACCCCCTTCATATATCACATTCAATTCAGGAAAAAGATAGAAGGAAACGAAAGTAAACACTGCATATCCATGAAAAACAGAAAAAATAAAAAGGAGATCGAGAAACAAAATCAGGGGCACACACCTTTCACACAACAACGTTGCACGAGCAAGCTCAACCAAACCCTTGGAATTGCCATCGGGCTGAGTCGACTCGCACTGCTCCAATACCAGTAAACCTCGCGCATACGATTCCTCTGCAAAATTTCACATTTTCAAGCCAAACCCATCAGTAACACAATCGAGAAAAGATAACTAAAAGGGACTGAAATTAAAGAAATTGGAGCACCTGTTTTCTGCTCGCGAGCGAGAGACACGGCGTATTTTATCATCTCAATGGCGACCGGGTTGGGCGTGAAGGCGCCTCTGCCGGTGGAGAAGCGTCTGACTGGATTTGGCGGTGGCACCGCCGCAGGCGGCGGAGACGGTAGCTTGACGAGCGAAAGCCTCGCTGCCCTCGAAAGCATAGCTGCGAGCCTCATCGTGCTGATTGAATCAAAAATCAAAGATTTCAGAAAGTTGAGCTCTGATGGTGAGCTCTGATGAAGAGATGAAGATGGAGATCCTTCGCCCTTCTTCCCTTTTAAAAATTCGGGATTTTATTATTCTCTCTTCTCTTTTTTTTTTGCGGTTTTCATTTTTTACAAAATAATAATGGGCCACGAATGGGCTCGGGCTTTGATTCGAAGCAAATAATATAGGATAAACTGATATATACAACCTGGACGCATACAAGCCCAACTACCCAAATTACACTCACCAACACACTTGATTCAGATATGCGGCCCATAGAAAAATATGATAAAATTACTCATTTTTAGAGTTCAATTGCACAAGTAAAATAATTGTTAAAATAATTTATCGTTTTAATTAGAGTATGGATAATTTTTTGTCTCTACCACCGATCTTTTTCATTCACAAGCTTCTATTCAAAACCATTTGCAAGTTAGTTATTGTAGATTACCTAGCGCTAAAATTCCTCACGAAACCATTCTGCGGTGGAACTGCAGTCTTTTCCCTAAATATAATGTTCAAAAACTAATCTCTCCTCAATATTATTTACTAAACCTTGATTTTAACACTAATCTTTGGAAACATTATGTTCAAACTCTAATAATTCTCATTCACAAAAATAACATGTTAAAAACTAATCTTCGAAAATAATGATATTTTCATACACTAATCTTTTTCATTCACAAAATTAATATTTTCGAAGAACAATCCTTGACTATTCCTCCCAATACAACTAATTGGTCGAAAATGTGTGTCACACAAGTTTGCAAGATGATTGAAATTTTCTTGTAATCATCAATTTAACCCTTTAAAACCGTATCAAACAAACCCCAAACGCCCAAACTATAGAAACCATTCGCATGGAGTTTATCAACAAATGGCAGTAAACAAAATCACACAAGTCCAAAAAGATTGTT